ATGAACTTTGATTATTTGCATTTGAATTCAAAGAATGAATGTTATCGGCATCTCAAGAGAGATGGATGGTCTAGAAATGTGAAATATAAATAAATAATCTTATAATAGGTGGAGGAAGGAGTATTATATATGTTGGCAGACTTGAGTTTCTTATAAAGTAATAAAGGTGGGATAAAAATCTAATAAATATATATACACATGCATCTATACTAATTATATAGTAGTGGCCAAAATTGTGGAAACCTTTTGGGAAAAGTGTATTTTTGAGGTTTGATGGCTAATTACACCACTTTTTTTGTAGTAGTACAATAAAATTATATATCAATGGAAAGATAATTTAATCAAGAATGTAATGCAACATAGTTTGTTCAATTATCTGTACTGTATTCTATGAAAGGTATAGCCAAATAACCAGAAAATGGAAGCACAACTTGATCAGGTTGATATCAGGTAGCTTTTCTTCATCTGATTGTAGCCAATGAGCATGAGTGTTTAGAGGGCCAATCAGGTGTCATCTTGTTTTGGCAATGAGCCAATCAGATCACAGTAGGATTCAGTTATTGATGTCATGTATTGAAGCTGAGAGGAGGACATTTGTCAATGTGTTATGTGATCGCTATCAAGTTGGTTGGGTTTTTTGTGTGTTCTTTCATTTAGTGAGCTTGTAAAACGTAATAAAATTAAAGTAATGGTGCAAAGAGTTGACTGGTTGCCCAGAAAGCAATGTAAAATAGTATTATTAAGTGAACAAGTGAACAAGGCTACAGTTATAAAGAAATTAGAAGAAAAATTGGTGGAAACTTAACCAAAGGTGGCATTTCTACTGTACACTTTCCCCAAAAGGTTTCCACAATTTTGGCCACTACTGTATCCCTTTTAAGTAAGCTTTGTGAGTATCATATAAAATTAAAACATAACAAAAGTACAATGGAAGGTATGCAAATGAAATGTAGAAAGGACCTGGGATAGGCAGATATTGTTGTTTTAAAGGTATTGTTGCAGGATGTATGCTAGTCCAAGTAAAGTTGCCTTTTGCAATTGATTGATGGGTGATTTTGTCAATACAGATGATGTTCAAGTGGTGCTTCAGATGTTTCTTGATTGCACCTAAGGCACTTATTACTACGAGTACTACCTTTGCTTTCTTTTGCCACAATTGTTTTATGTCTATTTGCAGGTCTTTGTAGTTTCTAATTTTCTCCAGCTCTTTCTCTTCTCTTTTGCTGTCCCCAGGTACTGCCACATCCGATATTTAGAGTTTTTATCTTTCTTATCAATAATTGTTAAGTCTGGGATATGTTGTGGCAGGTGCTTGCCTGTCAGAATTCTAAAGTCCCAGAGCACTTTAGCTTCTTCATTTTTTTATTATTTTGTCTATTTTGTGGTCCCACCAATTATTTATTTATTTATTTATTTATTTATTTAATTTAATTTATATGCCGCCCTTCTCCCGACAGGGACTCAGGGCGGCGCACAACATATTTAAAACCAGAACATATATACAATCCCCCCCTTAAAACCGAATTAAACCGAATTTTAATGTTGCGTCTTCCGAATATTTAAAACCCTATATAAAATCCACCCTAGGTCAGGTCCGCTTGCTGGAAGAGCCATGTCTTGAGGGCGCGACGGAAGGTAAGGAGATCCGGAATTATCCGGATCTCGGGGGGTAGTTCATTCCAGAGGGTAGGGGCACCCACAGAGAAGGCCCTCCCCCTGGGGGTCACCAGCCGACACTGCTTGGCCGACGGCACCCTGAGGAGACCCA